GATCAGAGAGAACGCAATACCGAAGGGAATTATACATACTGACAAAGGAGCCGTTAAGAAGAGCGAACATAAATGACGGCATATAAACTAAGCGCACTCGTGCACTACGTCGTGTTACTGGCGTGAGCGGCGTGAGTGGTGTGCATGCGTTGCTTTGCTTATATATGACTGTATGTATTGACGGCGGGCCAGCGTGATGCCCTATACTGCTCAACAGTCTTTTCGTACAAGTACTCACAGATAGACCCGAGGTACATATAGTATAACACAAAGTGTAACCAGACTTTGTACTACAGAATGTAAACCAACACCCAAACCTATCCCTAATCCTAACCCTAACCCAACTCCAAACACTAAACATACCTCATATAAAAATATAAACATAATACTAAACAACCTAAAACTACCTCGGGTACATATCTGTAGTACCTGATACGATAACGACCCCATCTGCCTTACTACTACCTTATACATATTGAGAATTGTCCAGACGTTCTTCAACGAGGTTTCGAGGTTTATCCTAATAATTTATGCCTCCTGATTTTTCTTGCACCATAAAATCCATTGAAATTATCTTTTGTAAACACTGTCACAGAGAATTGTGTGTGTATTCGGCGTCGAGTTGGTGGGACCGAGGAGTTTACATGCATAGACTGGCGACCATACACGCCTCTGTGCACACGGATTAGCTTGAAGGGTAAACGCAAGTCAGCTGATCTCCTTTGTTAACTTAGACTATACGGCGTAAACAAGTAGGTTGCTTGCGAACGCACACCTGTCTGCTCGTTATATTTTCAAATCGTTTCCCTTCGTTCGGTATCCAGGGAAACGAGCTAAACTCTATACTAGGCAGGCGTATGTATAGCAGAACACTATGCGGCGAGCATAGCGACGTATATAGACGCGTGTTTAGTGAAATATAGCCCTTGTTCTATGTAGCCCATATAAGGTGTTTTAGCGCCCCCGTATTTCGTGACTAAGCATATTTGTCGTAGTTTTCTAACATCGGGTAGGGAGGAATATTCGGTCCTCTGTTTTGTCGTCCATTTTTGATGTCCATGTACAATATCACGACGGGAACGCTTGCAACTGCATGGCTGCATGGCTATATCTGACAGCTAGGTTGCCTCACCTCTATTATGGCGACGCTCTAACTCACGCTGAGAGGGTCTATGTCCCCCAGGGTACTGCCGGAACGTAACCTGGGTACGGTCCGGTATACCGGAACGTACCCTGGTACTATCTAATATGCCGGACCGTACCTCGCCTACTCCACTAACGAGTTTAGGGAGTCGCCTACGCCTACTCCCTAACCCTAACCCTAACCCTAACCATATCAGATAGTTACCAGGGTACGTTCCGGCATACCGGACCGTACCCAGGGTACGTTCCGGCAGTACCCTGGGGTACATAGACCCTATGAGCCTTAACTCACAGCTAGCCACTACAGTCCTCTAAAAATGTGGATATGTGTTAGATACCTCGTCTAATTAATTAATCGACACTAGACACTGCGTGATCGTCAAGGGTGCTGCACGTTCTCATGTCCGGCATGTTACAACGTCATTATTCCTCATCAACAAATATGTTCGTATCATGTAAATCATCATTGAGATGATTTAAGGAGCTGTGGCATCATGGCTAGCATGCGAACATCGGGTTCATTGGCCTGGGGTTCGATACGTCTTTTGTTTTAATCGGCGCCACCTTTACAAAAATTGGTCCTTAGTCGCTACATCGGTGGGTGGGGGGAGGGGGGATACGACGAAATCACAATTGAATCAACAATGTTACCACTAACCTATGCTCCTCGAAGAACCAAAAAGAAATAATAATACCTCGACTCATTAATCATCGTGAGACGCGTAACAGTTTTGGCATTAGTTTTGATGACCTGGCAAAAAGAGCAAAGTCTATAATCGCGTTATTCGATACTGCCGACATGCCCCCCCCCACCCACACACCGCATACTAAGCAAAGTGACATTAGATTTTAACACCTATGTTATGGCCGAGGGGCGGGGCACTACACGTATAGCGGCTATAAGCGAAATGTCTGCGAGATCGTCATCGATCTGCTTTCTATATACGGAGAGTCGTACTGGTCGCAATCATTCATCACTCTATCGGAACTAATAATATTATGTTTTCATCTTTGTGTGCACTAAATTTGGCGTAATGAGCTTTAGAAATAAATATCGTCATTGAAGCGAGTGGAGAGATTCCTGTCCTACTGCCCACCAAAAATAGCACCGGTATCACTATGTTTACTCATAGATATTTCTTATCTCCCTGACGACACAAGCGTGTGTTTATGTTCTCTTGTATCGTCCTGATATTTTGTCACGGAATTAAGATGTTTTTTCGTTGCTTGTGAATACCATAGCGTACAGCTAGCAAACCAGGGGCGGATCCAGGGCTGAAGCTAGACAGTATTTTTCCAGATTTAAGAGCACATCACCCCAAAACGGGCACCCCACCCCACAGTGGCGCCGTTCGGCGGAACAACATGCGGGGGTCTGGGGCGCAGGAAATTTCAAAATTTCAAGGGTCCATTGGCACAAAAATAAGCACCATTGAGCACACATTTAGTCAAGCAGCAATAGCTAAAAACCATATGGACTTTTATTTCTGCTTCATTTGCCTGCGCGTTGCATACCAGCAATTAATGCAGAATGATTCAAGCACTTCCCCTTTTTCGGATATCAAACTAGTTTTGTTACCATGTAAAATTTTGATTTCCTTCCAGTCCTGATCATGAACATGCGAAAAAGAAAAACAAATAAGAATAGTAGCCAAATTCCATCAAATTTTTTTAGCGCAAAATTCGAAGGGCACTTTGAATCTAGACCGTATTTCCCAATCGGCAAATACGGTCTGAATCCGCCCTGCAAACAGTATATACAGAACAACTACCCTAGCGTCTGTATTGACCTCGAATACCCTAGTTTTTCCGGTCGCGTATGTATTGATCGCCAATTCGATTTTCTCGGATA